AGAAGTAAATAGAAGTAAACATTGAAGTCCATGAATGATTGGATTTAATGGCAGATTTTTACTACAGACTGAAAAATGACTATATGGTAACCTTTCAGCTGTAGCTTCTTATCTCCTGAAACTGAAATGAAATGATAAAGATTATAAATAACAAAATTAAATACCTTATCAGTGCACCACATGTATTGAGTGTTAACAGCTGTTTTAAAATGTAACCCTCTAAAGCCACACGGTCTGGTTGTTCAGAGCAGGATTAAAAAAACTCAGGATTTGCGAGAAATTCGATTCTATTCTGAACGCTTACGAACATAGTTTTGAAAATTCTTTTGCCTACTAGTTGATGTTTGGAGACTGAATGGACTAGTTAAACAATCAACAGAAAAAAAGATTTGGAATAAAAGAAACAGGAACCTGGATTAAGATTAGTGGTTAAATGAGCCTTTTGGATAACTGAACCCAGGATTCCGTTTAATCCGGTCTGACGGCCGTGATCGGACCTGCCTGTGTGGGAAACACCACATACATTAATTTTAGCGACCACCAAAATATATATAGGCATGCCGTGTTTGAGTCAATTTTGTTGCAATGACAAAAGCCGATTGTCTGCGACATGACGAAGATCGGTCGCCAATCGGGCTCCAGATCAAATAAAAACAAGACAAAAATAAATTAAGCATAAAATAGTTAAAGAGATTAAGAAGTAACTTTAAAATATTCGATGTTGCGATGAAACTAACATCATTTTGGAGAATGAACAAAAACGTTTTGTGTCAAAGTTATTGAAAGAGTTGACATTTAAATTCATTACATGGCATTCATAGAGTTTGATTTTAACTGTTAAAATTGATTTTCTCAATCTTGGGTTCCAAACCCCTCATCACCATTACAAATAGCTAGTTGTCAAATAATTGTAAAGGTCAATTTAGAACTTGTATCTTGGTCAGCATACAGAAGGCTAAAATAAGTTTGCATAAAAATGCGCAAGTTATAATGTTTATCACTGCTTGTGTTCCATTTCTGCTGTCATCATGTTGTTTGATGGTGATTTTCTGTTTACTGTAGGATATGGAAATTAAGCACAGAAAACAATCCCTATGTTTTGTGTGTATTTGTTTTTGTTTCAGAAAAAACAAAAAAATTGTGATAAGCCAGTAATTAGAGTTGTGTGTTACCAAAACTGCGCAAAGACTATCTATCAAAGCCTAACGAGAGCTTTTCTGTACAGGTTACAAAATCGTGCAGGTTATAAGAGTTTTCTATTTAGTACACCCATCCACAGGCTCCTTTTCGATCGCTTTCCTTTTTGAAAGACACGAAATAATTCTAGTAACCACCTCGTACCCAACCTTCCCACAACCCATGTAGTCACCACCCACTTATGATTACAACCAGCCTCCCATAAAATGAGGGCTTCGTCACGCTAATGTTCAGGAGCGCGTAACGAAGCCCTAAGTACTTCTTCGCGGAAGCTTACATTACAACGCGTGCCAAAGAAATATCCAGTTTACCTTAATTGATGTTTTAGATGCATCATTCAGGACAACACTCTTTTCCACAAGAGGAGACTGTTTTACTCAAATCGCCAAGACATTTGTAAAAGCAGGACCTGCACTTTGGACAGCAGCGGTCAAAAATTTCCATCATCAAATCCTCTTCGCCGGTGAGGGCATTCTCTGAGTTTGCGTAACCGCGTTTGTAGGCCATGTCTAACATATAAGTATAATTAAAATTAATAATAAGACAAACCTGAAGGTAGCATGAGGCTTAAGGCAAGGCTGCAAATAAGGTTAGCGATCAGTTTGGAAAAACAACAACATGACGCAAATTATACCAAACAGTGCAATTTTTTTCAAAAATTACCTTTCCTTGTAGAAAGAGACGTCACAGCTACCAATAGCATAGAAAGAAATATATAAATGGCAGGCTTCATTTTGGAATGATGCAAAAACAACCCGAGCCAAAATCCTGTGTACAATAAAACATGCAGTCTCATGTAAGTAAAACTATAGTTTTTATTATAATACTGCCACGTGTAGCGCGCACGTACTAGCATAGCGCAGTCTGCAGTTTTTATCATCATTTCGGACGTGTAGCAATTTCTTACGATAAACAATCAATGAAATGATAACTTGCCAAGAATATGAACTATTTTCTTGGCGAATTTTCTTATTTCGATCGGTGACTCGTCATTGATTTTGTATTTTGCGGGAAGTACTCGCGTGGTCGTTCAAAACGGACCAGAATTTTCGCACAGGAACCTGGCGATAGCCAGGTTTCTGGTCACTGCGGTGAGAAAAAACGTAGGGGGCTTGCTGTCCTGGTTAGTCCCATTGTCAAGCTCAGTCCCTGAGCTAGCTCGCCATGGGTTGGGAAGGGGCCTCCATGTTAATCCCTAGGGGGAGAGGGTGCTGCAAAATCTTGGTACCGTCCGTAAGTCTTGCTCTGGGAGAGTCAGTGCACTCGTCATGTCTGCCTTTAGTTTGTCATGTCAAATTATTGTAATGTTTGAGGCCCATTGGCCAATGAAAGCATTCCCCCCAAGCACTTGCTAAGCTGGGGGCGGGGGAGGGGGGGGGGGTGATTTAACCTTGAATTCTCTGCTTAGAACTTGGTTAAGTCTCAAGCATCCTCTATCATTTTGAGCCTTCATGCAGCTAGAGTGTATGGACAAGTCCAGAGTGTCTTTTTGATGGACTTGAATGTTTCTTTTGCTAATCAGGAACCAAGAAAAGAGTCACCTTAAGAGAACCACGGGTAAGAGCTGAGTTTCTTGACAATATTCACTTTAGTTGAGTCAGTTTAAGGTGTCTGGCCTCCAGGAGCCCACCGGTGTGGTTTTCATAAATCCGGCTAGATATATCGTATATATAAAAAAAGATTATGTGTTCGAGATATGAACCACTGCAGGCAATAACATGTTATGCTTTACTTGGGTAGTCAGTTCTTTATTGAGCTGTTGTTATTTGTCGAGCAGATTATTAACCTTGCCACGCGCTTACTTACTCTGCCTCACTTGGGTAGTCAGTTCTGTTGTTATGTATAGAGAAGAATATTTAACCAAACCGTACTACAAACCTCGCTTTTCTCAGTGGGTAGCCAGTTCTAGGTTTGTCGAATTTCTAAATTATTTCAACGGTTACAATAGAGGCTTTTGCTTTGAACTTTTTTTTTTCATCTTTTTTTATAGGGAATTCAACCCATGGGACGTACAATATTCTTCAATTCAAGGAATTCGAGTTTTCATTTGTTGCTCCGGATTTCTTGCATTAAACTTGGCGAATCTGCATTGCTATCTAAGCTAGGATAGCCTTTTACACAGGAAAAGGCGTTAACGCAGAGTACAAGCGTATTTACCCCAGCGTTGTAGAAATACGCGAGCAAGAATTACTTTAAAATCCACGCGAGCGAAACGAGGGAAAGTTAAGGAGAACGTTCCCTTATTGACGTGAAGTGTGTCTTGCGACTTAAAAGGTATCATAAGGCGAAACCGAATACCAACTAAAAAAGCGGTCTCTGAAATAATCGGATGTCTGCGACACCTAAACTTGCGAAATGCGTTCTTTATAGTTACACTTAGGCCCCGTCCACACGTATCCAGATATTTTCGAATCCGCAACTTTTTTACCCTGGCTTCAGAAACCGTTCTAGATATACCTAATATGAAATAAACCGTGCCTACGGTTTAATAAGGGCAGACGACGCGTAAATTAAATGTAAATTTTTCATTGCTGCTATCATTATTTTAATTTACTATTTCCTGTAATCTTTAACTGCTGCTTATTTGAAATCATTGTAAGTAAATATGTATGGCGCAAAAAACCGGCAAGTCTAACTTAATGTAGCCTCCCATGCAGACTAGGAACGCGTGACAAACCCCTAAGAACGTCTGCGTGGGAGGCTAAACTTAATCATACCTACCCGCCTCGACCAGTTTTAACTATTTGTGGGTAGGTACTATTCAAATTGTAAATATATCTGTTTCCTAATAAAGTGTGTTGTTGTAGTTGTTGTTGCCTGATCGCAGGTTAATAGCGTTGTTTTAGTCATTTTCCTTTCGCAGTCTGCTTCTCACTTGGATAAACTGGTGATTTCCGACATCGTCTAATAACGGTAAATTCGACTGTTCACAGGATGACGGTTTACGGGAATTTGTGTGTTCACACTGCAGTTAAACCCACCAAATCGCTTGCTAAGATTGTAATGATCACTAGCCTCAGTGAGTCAGCTTTCATGGAAGGGAACTTATATCAAGAAAGAAAATGTTTCGTAAGGTGGTAATAATTGATTCTCAAGGTGCAAAATGTTACATAAGAATAGTATAAAAAACCTCACAAATGATAT